AGATATAGAACGCCCGAAAGAATTATTTTAGATGACGCTTTAAATTTGAACAATGACTAAATAGTTGAAATATGTATAAAGTTCAAAATCAAATATCATAACTCTACTCCTTATCGCCCAAATATGAATAGGAAAATAGAGGCAACAAACAAGAACATCAAAAAGATTGTCACAAAGACTACTGAGACATATAAGGAATGGCATGAAAAGTTACCCTTTGCATTACTAGTTTATCGTACCTCTGTTCACACATCGACTAGGGCAACACCTTTTCTCACTGGTCTATAGGATTTAAGCAGTTTTACCAATCGAAGTGGAAATCTCTTCATTAAGAGTACTAATGGAGCTTAATTTAGAGGAAGCAGATTGGATACAGAATAGACTCGATCAATTGAACTTAATTGAGGAAAATAGGTTTAGAGTTATTTGTCATTTCGAGATGTAGCAAAAGATAATGATGCGAGCATATAACAAGAAGGTCAGACCTCGCGAATTTCATGAGGGAGATTTGGTGTTGAAAATGATTCTCCTTATACAAAATGACTTTCGACGGAAGTGGATGTCAAATTGGGAAGGCCCTTAAATCGTGAAAAAGGTCTTTTCTAGAGAAGCTCTGATTTTGACTGAAATTGGTGGAGATGTGTTACCTAATCCTATGAATTATGATTCAGTCAAGCGATAATACACATGAAGAAAAGAAAAGAAGTGAAAACATTGAAATGAAATTGAAAAAATAAAAAAAATAAAAAATGAGAAAAAAAAGAAAAGAATATGAAAATATAAAAAAATGGAAAAAATAAAAAAAATAAGGAATTAAATGGGGGTTTAAGATGAAAACTCAAAAATAGACGTCTTGAAACCAAATGAGGATTCGAGTTGAAAATTCGTAAAAGATGGCTTAAATATTCAGGGTTAGGCTAATGAATAGTGGATTCCCTTAGAAGCCTCACAATTAAGGGAGAGATTCTCATGCTCAAACATCTCTAGTACGATCTGAATCCTATAGACACATGTTAATCCACGGAAGAGGTTACCGGTAAAGAGATAAAAGGATTCCTAGACTTGATATCATGATTATTTGGTTTTTGTTGTAATGTTTGCTTTCTCCTTGAATGAAAAGTGACTCAAAGGATTGCCCCAGTTGATTATATTTTATCGCTTATGTTCATAAGTTTCATGCATATAAAAATATTGATTAATAACATTTTTCTATACAAAAGGATTATTATGCTTTGCTTTGAGGAAAGTTTAGGGTATAGGGATATCAAAGTATGTGTTTTCCAGGAAATATAAATGAATCCACCCCTTAGTAGTTCATTATGATAGATCAAGACATGAACCAACCTGATTTCAATCAATTCATCAAAATGGAAACAATTGGGACATGAACTTGCCTTTAAAGCAAACTCTTATTGGGGATATACTTGTTTAGACTTCAAATCATTTTAATAAAAGTTGATTTTTTGCAAGGGACTTGGTTCTCCTATCAAATCAGATAAAGCGAATTAAAGGCAGCAGTGAGTAGATTGATTACCGCAGTTAACCATTAAATAGTACATGGACATTATCACCAAGTAGTACAGGGACTTAGCCACCAGGGTTAAATATTATAGGGACCAAGGCCATCAAAGTAGACAATAGGGGAAACTCCATCTGCTATGACTAAAGATCATTCACCAAAAGCGGTGAAGTCATAGTTCCCTAATTAAATCATACAAAACTGCATCCAACATTCATCATATCAAACCACATTATATCATCTTTAGGACATGATGCATATGATATGTATAGAATCATATCATATTACTTGTTTTACAGGATCCGGGAAATTCATCTCAGTAGTAGATCCATCATCTTTCAATTATGACTAGATCTCCTCAACACAAAGCAGCAATGTCATCATCAGATTTGACATCGATCAAATCACCCATAAGTGATCAAATCTCCTCAGCACATAGGAGCAGTGTCATTTACAAAATCAAATTATCCCTGGACAATTAGACTTCCTCAACGCGAAGGAACAAGTGTTGTCTCTATTATCAAAATACGACTAGACATCCTCAACACGAAAGAACCATGTCGTTTACTGACTAGACCTCCTTAACGTGAAGGAGTAATGTCGTCATCAAAGGCAAATTATCTAAAGGCAATTAGATTTCCTCAACATGAAGGAGCCACGTTGTCTTCAACTATGCAGTCATTCAAGCATGACCATATTTCCTCAATATGAAGGAACGATGTTATCAGCTATACTGAAGTCCTTAAAATACATGATTGGATCATCGAAATGCGATCTATCATCCTCAACAAGAAGGAACAAAGTCGTTTTCATATTCTTTACCTCAAAATGAAGAACTCCATATTCATAAAGAACATCAAGGCCAAACAAAATAGATTATTTGGTCTTTGCTCAATTCTCGCCATCCGATAATGGACAAAGAGGGGCATATGTAAACATTACATTTTGTTCGAGTTTTTATTGTTTATTAAATTATACGTCTCAATTTTAATTGTTAAAAATTGATAATTGTTAATGTTAATTACGTTTAATTAGAAGTTGATTTATGGTTTTATGGTAGTATTAGTATATTAAACACATGTTAGATATATATATATATATATATATATATATATATTATTTTGTTAATATGTTACAAGATTGGCCCAAATTACAAATTAGACCCATATGCAATCCAAGTCTACAACTATAAGCTCAAACCAGATTAGCCTAAGCAGCAATTAGGGTATCATTCTTTTCTAAGCAACTACCTGCCATCCCTGTCGTTGGATCTAAATAGATCCAATAGTCTATATCCTTAAATTTTTAGGGTTTTACCCTAACCAAGCATGCATCGCCACCGCTAAGAAAGAACGCCATTGTCACAAGCTACTATCAGTCACTGTTACTATCAAAAAGTCGATCCAATCACTCCACTATTGTCATCTACAGCAAAAAAAATCAACAATATGACTACCGTGAAAAATCAACTAAAACCCATATTAAAAAATTCAAAATCCCAAAAAATATGGATCTTTGAATGTGGGTTTAGGGGAAATCATTCCCCTCGATTCTAGCCACACCAAACATTATCAAATCCATCAAATGGCACAGACAGATGATATTAAAAAGAAGGGCATTCGAACGAAACAAAAAGAAAATGGATGTTCCTTATTCCCATATGTAATGAGGTAAGGGGGAGGTAAGATAGTAGGCTGCCCGCAACACTAGGTTGAGAGCAGCTTCTGTAGAAGACCTCCAAATTATGAAATGCCCTCCATGGGACTCGATCCCACGACCTCAAGGTTAAGAACCTTGTGCTCTGTTATTTTTTTATACTTTAATAGGCTAATAATTAGTTTTTATTAATTATAAGGTCAAATTCAAAGTATTAAGTAAAAACAATAAAATTATCATAGTAAAAAAATAAAATCCAAGTATTAAATTGAATAAAAATACATATACCACGATAGAAAAAGTGAAATTCAAATTACCAGTCACAAAATCAAAAATATCAAAATTTGAAATTCTTCATTTTCATAAAAGAAATTTTTTAAGTGAATAATATCGTAATTTATCTTTATTATAAATTAAAATAAAAATTAAACTTAAATATTCTATTCCCAATATGCCAAGTCTTTCGGGATGTTGGAAAATCTTATTACGTTAAGATTGAACCAATGTAGAAAGCTTCATAAACATCCATCCTCAATGGGAAATTTGAAGTCTTTGCATCATTTATACATGAAAGAAACCGCGGTGAAGGAATTACCGGAAAGCTTTGGCATGCTCACAAGCTTGCAGGTACTGACAATAGGAGAGAAACGCAGTACACAAGTGCAACCAAATTCACCATTAGTAGCGTTACCGTCATCTTTCACGAATCTGTCATCGCTACAAGAACTCGACGCTTGGGCCTGGAGAATATGTGGTGAAATCCCGGATGATTTCGAGAAGTTGTCAAATTTAGAGGTTCTGTTTTTAGGAAGCAACGATTTTCATAAACTTCCATCGTGCCTAAGCGGATTATCACTTCTCAAAGATCTCCAGCTGCCCAACTGCGAAAAGCTCGAGTCCCTCCCTCCACTTCCTTCGAGTTTGGAGAATCTGAATCTTGCAAACTGTATTTCATTGGAGCATTTGTCTGATCTCTCCAATTTAGAGGGCTTAAGAGATTTAAACCTCACAAACTGTGTGAAGTTGGTGGATATTCCAGGCCTTGAGTACTTGAAATCCTTGAAGACATTGTACATGAGTAATTGCAGCAAATGTGCTTCAGCAGCAAAGAAAAGTCTCTCAAAGGTTTATCTCAAGAATCTGAAAAATCTAAGCATGCCCGGAAGTATAATTCCGTATTCGCTTTCACAAGATACGATTACTTTTTCGAGCCACAAAAGCCTTGATCTCACCGGGGTGATACTAATGGTGGTTGTTTCCATTAACCATCATGTACCAGATGAACTAAGATATCGTATACCTGCTGTGGTGGACGTTCAAGCACAGATCTTTGATGGTGACAGGGCAATACACACCACTGTCCTGAACTTGATTGGGGTACCGAAAACGAACCAAGACCATGTTCACTTGTGTCGATATCCTGCTCATTGCCCCTTGGTTTCATTGTTGAATGATGGCTTTAAGATTAAAGTGACGGCTCAAAACCCTCCCTATGTGAAGGGCGTAGAGCTGAAGAAGGCTGGGGTTTTTTTAGTTTACAAGAACGACGATGATTACGATGGCAATGAAGAATCACTGAATGAGAGCCAGCAGACTGTCTCAGAGATTAGCCAAGTTTTTCAGCTCTCTTGAAGAAAATGATGGAGTTGTTCGCCAAAACGACAGCAGCCATGAAATAAAAGAAGTGCTTCAAGTCCAAATCAAGGAACAAAAACACCAGCCGAGCAGGTGGAGGAGGCGCTGTTATCAGATATGCAGATGCATTTAATCTCGGACCAAGGTGCAGCGTCGGCAGAAATTGCGCCGAAGCCAAAAAAATTTCAGATAGCAGTAAACTGGCTTTACTTATTTATTACAATCTTATTTGTTAACAAACACAGAGTTGACTCAACATGTAAGCATCAGTAGTTCTGAACAGGCAACTTTCTTGTACAACAACAATAATGATTCTGGCAGATTCTGTTCGGGTATTTAGTACAGGGAAGGCCGTAAAGCCTGACATTTCATATATGGAGTAAAAGAACACATTCTCCAAAACACAACAAAGATGTTCAGATACTAACTTTAGCATTCTTTTAGATGGCAATGGCGACTCGATGCCTCATGTTGTGCGAAAGAAAATATACTCTCTTTGGTTTACCAGGATGCAATATACTTATTCGGGCATGATGACTGAAGGACGAATCATTTGAAATTAATGCTCTTATCGCCTATTGATGAGGAATTCTCAAGATTATGTTGTTCTATCGAAACCACCGCGGATATGCAACCACTCTGGTGATGAACCGCGACTGTATTCCCTTGTTGCTTGCGAACCAAATGCCATTGCAGTAGTGTCAAACGTTTGTTGCCCGTACTGAAATGCAGAATCAATTGTTATAACATATACAAAGCCTGGGGAAAAAGGAAATGATTTCTACAACTATTTCATTCAAATGAAAATAGCAACAAGAATTTCGTGTAAGGTGTGAACTCAAGACGACATATTAAACTGCCGACAACTAGACGCTAAGAGCACAAACACAAAGCAACGGATTTGAGTAACAATAATAGCATTATAGCATGTTATCTTCAGAAAATCTAAATCCAAAACTAATCTAATCACAATTATTATAGAAAACCAGATCAACCAACAAACTTCTACAGAAACTAGTTGTTTAACACGGTATAGATCTGCTCTTCTTATTTTGGCCATCAACTATCAAGAAGGCTTATTCTTCAACCAGGCATGAATTCTAAGCCAAATATGGTTCAAGTTCAACATGACTTATGAACCTTTAACTTCAGATGTATGAAACTTGGAGGTAGAAAGCATGTGTCGATGCTAGCAGCTAGAAAAGAAAGTGATAAAACTTTCGATCATAAGTTTAATTAAATAAAAACTACATAGTCAACGACAGAATAAATACTAACATCTTTGAGAGGAAACACTTCAATGGCATGGTTCATTCTTGAATTAACTGCTTCAAGCTTCATCGACAAGAACTGCAACACCAGTAATAACATTTCAGAATATAAGTTCGGGATTACTGGAGCGAAAATGTAAAATAAATACAGTGATAGATAAGCAAAAGGATACACACCTCAACCTGACGCTGTAGTGATTGGATGTAATTAATTATCTCATCAAGAACAAGAGCCTTGCCAATAACCTGAATCCAACAAACTATTTAGCAAGTGGCTTAAACATGCCATAATCAGGGGAACTGAAGAGAAATTTCGATACGCTTTTGGATTAGAAGCAAACCAGGCAATAGGTTTCCTTATACACAAAATTAGATTTCATAGCACGAAACAGTTTAGAAATTTCATCAGTATATACCTTATTGCAACCAGGAACCAGATGCTGAAGAACTTTCATTCTTTCACTAATCTTTTCTCTCCTAGCCTGCCAATCAAACAATTCCAGATCAATGAAATATAAAGGATTGTCTTTTGTAACGAAATCTCGGTTTTTATACACTGCAAAATGATTTCAGGACTATGATGAAAGCAAATTACCTTTTCTGCTAAACTGTGACTATCAGTGGCTTGTCCCCTTCTTGCTCGGACATGGATGAAATCTTGTTTAGGTGGCTCAGCTTGTTGAGCTTTCTGTCCCACTAGCTTGCCTGAACTGGGTTCTGCTTCAACTTTAGAATCACCATTCTCGTCTCTACATTCAGATTCTTTAAGTTTCTTCCCATCATCAATATCCTGCCCAAATTATGAAGCCAACATTGCCAATAACAGAGCATTTGCATATGTGAATTAGTAGAATTGAGGATCACAAAAAATGAAAATCAATTGATTAAACAAAGTGAAATGAAAATGAATACCATGCCATTGCCTCTACTAGTGGAGACAATCTTAGCTGACTCATCTTCCCCATTACGCCTCCTCCTCAAACCAACCCCTCTCTGCTGCCGCTGCTCTAAGCTCAACGGATCATTACCCGATACCTCCCGATTAGGATCCACGAAATGACCCGACACATTCCCAAATTGGCCCTTCCTTATCCCAAATTCAGGAACGGGATACTGCCAGATCTCTGCTAGATTGTATCCCCCATCACTCATCATAGGCGGTGGATCCATCACCAAAAAAACACTCTCAAACTTCACATAAAAAACCCAAAATGGAGCAAAAATGCAAACTTTGTTTCAAATTATTAGCAACAGATGATGGGGTTTTTTATTAGCGACAAAGTTTACTTGTTTTCGACTTTGATGCTTTGAAAGAGTTCCTCTGGAGTTGCGAACTGAGTCACTTCCAGTGAGGTTTACTGGGTTTTTTTTAATGGTTTGTAGAAGAAGAAAAAACCCTTATCTTTCTCACTTCTCTCGTTTCACTTATCCACCATTGGATTACAAAATCCAGGGTATAAATATACTGGTGTTACTTGATTAGTAGAAAATTAAGGTGATATGATTAATGATTAAAATTTTAAAAGCAAAAATGATCGGATTTGAGTGTCAATTTGTGGGAAAGTGGATCATATTCATGGGATATTTGTTTGTGGTGATTGATGAGACATGCAAGAATTTTGCGAAATTACGATTAACGACCTAACTGTCTAACCTAGTATTCATTTTCTTGTCCATTGCTGTGTAAGTACCTACTGATTCTGTTACTTTAATTTTCTGGGTAAACTACACAATTAGTCATACAAAAATCTTTTTGTTTCAATTTTACTTCAAATATTATATTGTCAACAATTTAATAAATGTAAAAATTTAGAGTAGTGTTGGGGACTTAGGTTTAAATTTAATATCTTATCAAGATAAAAATCAAAATATGACAAGAGTCAATAGTATATGAAGACACATCACTAACAAAAATTAACAACGAGGTATTAAAATAAAAATCGAATTGACTTGTTTGTAATTCATTTATTTTCAATAACTAAAATAAAATATTTTTATAGTTGAATGATCAACTAATGTAATTTACTCATTTTATATCACCTTTTTTTTATTAATTTGAGCTAAATACAACATAATGTCTACTCTAATATAACTCTTAATCATTTAACATTGAACGCTCACATAGTCATACTCTTAGTATTCCTGATGCTTAAACTTTAGACCTCAACGAATAACAATAATTTATTTATTACCAAGGTTGTTTGGTTTATGCCCCTTGTATATCACTTTAAAACACGAAAAGAAAAATATTTTGTGCAAAGTTCAAAATGATCATTAAATTATGATAAAATCATTGTTTTGGTAATGGAACCTTCAAAAGTTATAAAATAGACATTGTATCTTTTAGATTAATAATTGATACACAATCTATTAATTAACTAATTTAAATTGGGTATTGCAAATGCCCATTATGGGAGTGATTCTTTCAACCCATTTTACTCAATTCACAACGTCAGTATTTAAAACTCTAGTATTACTTAAGGAATCTAAAATTTTGTCTCACTAATCAACTTGTTGTTGGTGACATTAAACTTTTGATTTTTATTATAAAATGAGCATTGCATAAAAAATTTATTAATCTTATGTGCATGATTATAAGTGGTAGTATATGTTATAAAAACTCTTAATCATTTGACAACAAACGCTTAAATACTTAGCAGTCGCTGATATTCAAATATGATATCTCTAAATATAACAACCATCCTTTTAACCACTGATATGTTAAAGAAATGATACAACACATTAAATTAATAAATAATATCTCATTTAATCCTCAACTATAATTAAAATTTTATTTTAATATTTCTAAATAATAATCAATGAGATATTCAATATTTCTGAAATTTAAAAGCTCTTAAATACTGTTTAACTATAGTAATTGATTTGGATGTACCAAATGGGAATGGCACATCTAGTCCCAAAATTAGCAACATCTCGTGCCCAAGAGCAATAGTTGTACCACAAGATAAATGTCCTACAAATAAAGCAAGAGATGATGAATTGATGTGGAGTTTGGAGGTCCCCTTCATAGCTGTATTAAATCACATTAAATTGTCAAGAAAATAAATAAATAAATAAATCACATTAAAACTTGTTTCTCTTCCACCAACTTCAATTTTAACACCCCCTTTATCTTCTAACTAAATTTGTTGGACTCTATGCTATTCATTTATTATTCTGGGTTCAACTAAATTTAAAATCAAGTTAGGTGAATTCATAAATATATAATTAATTTAATAATGAAACATAAAAATTATTTAATTTATTTAGATACCACAATGTATTTATTTGACAAATACAATGCAAGTATATTTTGATTCTCGATTATACAAAAACACACGATGAATTTATAATTTGCTATTACAGCTAAGATATTAATAATGTGCCGAGTGGGCCTTTTTCATTTGTCGAAGTATATAGGAAGGCGAAATATAACTAACAAGCTTAGATAACGGCTTTTGCCAAACCTTGCCATTCCCGTGTTTAACTTTGTTAGGCATACATAACCACTAGAAAAGATCATTCACTTAGCATCAAACGGAAAGTGTGGGGCAAACTTATTTCGGCACGTTTTGGGTTCCTAACACTACTCAAGTTAGAGTTAGTTCCATCAAATTTTTATCTTTTCGGACGGTTTTCGAAAATTCCTTCATTTATCAAAGTCTTCGATAAGTTTATTTTTCCTAAAAATAGATTTTTTTGATCAATTAAAGTACATAGACAACATCATTGATAGACAAACTCACTTATAACATCTATCAATAGTTTTTCTTTTACCAAATCATAAAAGATAAATCGTCAACCATTTAAACTTTAAATTTTAAATCTTAATTTGTTACCAATCCAAACAAATTAAAAATATTTTTAAATTTCAATCAGATTAATTAATATCTCTAACGTCACATCAGTTGACAAAGATATAGCAAACCTGCGAAGGAGCAGTGTTGGTAAAGGCGTATTCTTTGTTCCAAGATCCCATTTCGAGGGAGATCTCTTTCTCAGCCATGTGGACAGGATTTGCCAGCACGTAAATATCGGCATGTGAAAAATACATAACCTATGCCAATGTCCACACCCTTTCGACAAGTACAATTTTATTACCCATTTAACATTCAATGTAGTTTGTTAAATCACGTGCTCAATTACTCCAATTGGTAATATGCCCACTCCCAATAGGTTCGGTTTGCTCTACTGTTCTATCAAGGTGCTTTATTTTTATTAGATTAAATTTTTTTTTTGGAGTTGATTATTTTTATATCATAAATAATGAATTACGATAAAAAAATATTTTTTTAAAATAACTTTTTATTTCAAGTGTAAAAATTAAAAAATAATACTTTTAACTTTTGAAGAAGTGTTTTCAAGTATGGAATTACCAATATTCTTCAGATTTGAGTAAAATAAAAAGTTAAAATAATGTCATATTATATACTTTTTCAATTATCTATTATCATTAATAATTCTTTTTGGTTTATGATAATTTTTTTTAAAAATATGAACATGGGCTTAAATATTTTTGTTCAACTGGGCTGAAGTCAAGAACTCTCTGCCCTTATTTCTAAAGCCCTCAGTTTTAATTTTTAGGACCCAAAGGCTTCGGAAATTGTTTTTCCTTTTGTTCAACAGGCTTCAGAAATTGTTGTTAAGCCCATGTCGATGCTCTCATTCAGTTGTAACAATTTGGTAAATAAAACACAATATGAAACCCATTGACTGAAATAAAAAGCATTTGGTAAATAAAAAAATAAAAGAAATAAAAGCTCATCAGGCCTGTTAACAATCTATGAAGAACTCTGCATTCCTACATAAGATATATGTTGTTGAAAGTTAACACAATGGTCTAAAAATCTGCATTTTATTGGATGGCAAGCATGGTTGCTTTTGTGACGGTGGCATGCTTAGAGAAAAGGTACTTAGTTACTTCAGAACGAAGCTGCCGACGCCGATGCCGTAGGGCTTGTTACGTCTCCCTCCTGAGTAGTAAAGTTGTCCTTACCACTTAACATCTTTATTGCTATTTGAGCAACTTCGGCAAACCAGTCATCCTCCGGCAACACGCTGCGTTCAGAAGGGTCAGTCTAGTGTATCGAAACTAAAAATGCTCCCATAATGATATTGGTCATATGAAATGTACCTGTATGGATCAATTCCGGTTGCAGCCAGCGCCTCGATAGCTCTCTCGATTATGGTTTTGATAACTTGTTGCAGATTTCGTGACAGATACCGGCCTTCAGAAGCGAAGATCATTACAAATTCCATGTCCAGATAAAGCTGCATCGAAGCAAAAACGAAAGTTATATGATGTTCAATCATCTAACCTAATGTATTTGTAGTCGATTGAGTATACCTGTTGAAGACCGAGGGGACCCAAAGGTGTCGGCCCCTGCTCGATCTCTTCCCAAAAGGTTTGGTCATCGGAAAGCCAAAGGATCACAGTCTCTGTTTGTCTCATTAATAGAAGTGTAGCAAACCTTTCCCTTCCCACAAACATATCAGCTGCTATACTTGCCATCCTTGTTATTTTTTCAAACAGTTCCTGAAAACAAGGTAAAATTGTAGAGGAGAAAGGTTTATCCTAGTAAGTGATAAGAAGTATAATTATGAACACCAGAATTATGTATCAAATAGGTAACTGTTTGTATCCCATTTGTCCGGCTTGAATTCAATAGATGTCATATCTTACTTTTTTCATGTTGGATGCTTATGTCATGACTTAGGAAATCAAGATATTACCTGGAAAATTGGTGATGGAAACCATTCAGGTTCCTCAGTATGGCTATCCATACTTATGTATATCTCTGCGTTGAGACGCATGTCCCCGTCGACAGTGAAGATAAGATCGAGGGCGTGTTGTCTACAAAAGCTATCTCGCAAACGTTCAACCGAGCGGTTTAATTTCCGCTTCCATTCCCTTTGTTCCGGAACACGGCCTTGCCTATCCGAAGTGCTTCTAGGGGTCGCATCCACTCTGCTAGCCTGGATCAATGGCAAAAGTTTCAATGCAGCCCGGGGAAGCAGTTCATCCGCTAGCAATGACGCATTGGCAAGCAAAGCCAATTGTTGCGCTTCACTCTCTGCCATCTTGAGAATTCTATTCCCGGAACCATCTAAAGTTTCTTCGTTTTCCATCGAACCAGGCAATGCACTTATCAATAGATTAACATAGGAATTGAATATTTGTAAAACTCCTTCCAAAGCTGGACCATCCAATTGAAGAATCTCAAGGGGGCCAACATCCTCCATAAATGCCTAGAACCAGACATAATGCAGATTAGGAACACCAAAGATTCTAAAACTTGCAAAACAAGGAATAAAAAGTACATTTTACTTATGTTTGATCACATAACATTAATCGCTATAGAAGCGGAAATAATTACCTTAACCATTGAATTCAATTTGTGAGCACTGCTTGAAAGCTTTGGCTGTGGCATATTTGCACTACTAAAAGATAAAGTAGAAGATAACCGACGTGCATCACCCGGTGCATAAGAAAGCACCCAATCATCTGCAGCAGCAAGTGCAGCAG